TATTATTATTGTAATACAGGATTTATATAGTGCCAACAGTTTGTGCAGCACTTCACAACATGAGAGCAGACAGTACAGTTACAATACAAATAAATACAGGAGGAATCAGAGGGCCCTGCTTGTTAGAGCTTACAATTTAAAAGATAGGGTCAAGTGATACAAAAGGTAATAACTGTGGGGAATGAGCTGATGGAGAAAATAAAAAAAAATAATTGTTAGGTGGGGGCAGGATAGGTTTCTCTGAAGAGAAAGGTTTTTAGGGATCACCTAAAAGTGGACAGAGTAAGAGACAGCTGGACATATTGGGGTAGGGAGTTCCACAGGATGGGTATGGCTTGAGAAAGTCCTGGAAGCGAGCATGGGAGGAGGTGACAAGGGAACTAGAGAGCAGGTGGTCTTGGGAAGAATGAAGAGAATGATTTGTTTGGTATTTTGAGATTAGGTTAGTAATGTATCTGGGGGCTGAGTTGGGGATGACTTTGTAGGTTGTTATTAGAATTTTGAATTTAAATTTGTTGGGTAAGCAGAAGCCAGTGGAGAGACTGGCAGAGAGGGGTAGCAGACACTGACCAGTTAGTAAGGTGGATGAGTCTGGAAGCAGCATTCATGATGGACTGAAGGGGGGGATAGTCTATGTAAATGTAAGCCAATGAGGAAGGAGTTGCAGTAGTTGAGGAAAGAGATGTCTAGGGAGTGAAGTAGCAGCTTTCTGTTGTCATTGGTTAGAAAGGGGTGTATTTTGGAGATGTTGTGTAGGTTGAGGCAGCAAGCTTTGGACAGTAATTGAATGTGGGGCCAAAAGGAAATTTCAGAATCCAGGAGTACACCTAGCACTCTGACATGGTGGGATGAGTTGATTGTTGTGCCATTGATTGTAACAGAGAAGTCAGGGGAAGAAACACATTGGAGAGTAAATATTATGAGCTCGGTTTTGGATAGATTTAGTTTGAGGAAGTGGTGTGAAATCCAGACTGATATGTCTGTTAGTAAATAAGTGAGGAGACTGATTGAGCAAGATGAGGGGTAGAGAGATAGATTTGGGTGTCATCAGCATAAAAATGGTTTTGAAGGTTTGAAGGCTGAATGGTTTTCAGCTGACCCAGGGAAGAGAAGTGGATCGAGAATAGAAGAGGTCCTAAAACAGGGGACTCCAGCTGAAAAAGGAAGAAGAGAAAGTAGAATTGTAAGTGATGCTGAAGGTTCTGAAAGGTGGGATGAAAAACCAGAGAAGATTACAGTCATGGAGACCAAAGAAGTGGAGTTTTTTTAGGAGGAAGGGGTGATAAACTGTGTTGAAGGCAGCAGAGAGGTCCACGTGTAGAAGTACAGAATAGTGTCCATTGGTTTTAGCAGTTAGTAGATCATTTGTGAGTTCTATGAGGCAGTTTTGTTGGGGTCAAAATTCAGACTGCAGGGGATCAAGAAAGTTAATCTCAGTGAGGTGGTCGCTCAGTCGGTTGCAGGCCAGACATTCAAGGAGTTTGAGGAAGGAACAAGGATATGGGGCATAGGTTGTTAAGATTGGTGGGGTCCAGGGAGGGTTTTTAAGAATGGGGGTGACTAGTGCATGTTTTGAAGAGTTGGGTAAAATGGCAGAAGAGAGGGAGAGATAAAAAATGTGGGTTAGAGAGTGTAGGGTAGAGCCAGAGTGTGACCGTAGTGATTATAAGGGAACAGGGTTCTCCTATGCCAGGTTCTCCTATGCTTGACTACAGAACATCTCCACCTCACCTAATCTACATAACGATGGAGTCCACAGGAGAGAGCTGGGCTTTGCTAATAACACTGTCTGGGATTTCAGTGCAGTAGAGACAGATATGCCATCTCAAGCAGAAATTTAGGAGCTTACTGAATTTGAGGCAAAATCAACAGGCATTTTTCTGTACTTCAATTGTTTTTAAAGAGACAATATGTGTGGAAATGTGCATGGATTGAAGAGATGTACTTATTGTTGCTTGGTTATTTTTTTGCCCAGACAAGTGTTAACATTCCCTATTGTTATGCCAATTGTTATTATTTATGCTGCATAAGAATGCAAAACATGCAAAGATGTATATTTGCTTATTTTAATGGTTCCTGTTAATCAAGAATATTGGTAGAGAGTTATATTTTCATCCGCAACGTACATCAGCACTAAATGTTATCTAGCTGTAATCAGTGTGTCATGCCTGAAAATCAAAATCATGAATTATTGTCCAAATAATGAAAAGTAGCTTTAAATTACAATTTTTATGTGGATTCAAGAGTATTAAGTATATCTGAAGAGTAATTAAGCATCAAATGTATCGATCAAATGTATTTAGCACATACACAGGCCAATTTTGAATTCTTCTAATTTGTCATTACATAGTTGATATGTCTGGTATGTATTTATTCACAGAGTGAACCCTTCATGACAGAAGAGAATAGATACACATATTTTACGCTTGTACCAGATTACCTTACTAAATAGTCTAGCAATCTGTTAAGTATTTTATGTAACTGCAGTGCAAAATGAAGATACTTTTAAACAGCAATAAATTATGAGCATAATAACTGGGGTTAAAAAAAACTTTCTGGTAAACAAGTAAACATTATTCCATTATGTTTAAATATTGAATATACATTGTAGACATTTAAATGTAATTACTGCATTAAAAGTCTTGTGACCCCACCATACGTGATACACTGTTGGTGCTGCTGGAGGACGTTCATCTGAACTACAGGTAGGTCCAGTGTAAGCAAGTCAGTGCCTAACACACAGCTAGAATATTACATGCTATGCAAAACCTCTAAACAACAGGCTTGATAGGCTCTTTGATTCAGTTTTCTTGCCAGCCATTAATATTTTCTACAGTGTATGAATAAAAAGTAATCCCTCCATGCAATTACTTGTGACTAGCTGTAAATATTTTATTTAAAAAAAAACAGAAAAAAATCTCAAAATGTGTCCTTTAATTATGTGTATTATATTTCTACATAGTCACTAGCTAACTGTGTACAGTTTTGCCAAAACATGAAGCCAACGCAGTAGTCCATGTCCTAACAACATTCCCAACTTCTTAATTGAATGCATGGTATTGTCCAATTGTGAGTCTTTTGAAAAAACAGGATGTTATAGGGCACCAAGTTTTAACCACTTAAGCCTGGCATGGTTAACAACCTTCCTGTTTTTCAGCACTGTGAAATTTTGACTAACAATTACATGATCATGCAACACTGAACCCAAATGAATTTTGTATAATTTTTTGAGATAGATAGAGATTTCTTTTGGTGGTATTTAATCACCACCGGGGTTTCTACCTTTTTTAACTATATAATAGGGAAAAAATGAAAATGTTTAAAAAATGTATTCCCTTATTTTCTGTTATAAAACACTGCATATAAATACTCCTCCTTCATACATTTAGGCCAAAATGTATTCCGCTACATTCCTAAGGATACAAAAGTGTATATTATTTAGACTGTGTGAAAGTTATAGAGTCTACAAACTTTGGTATATACTGTACATTTGAAATTTATCAATCTTGAGGTTCTGACTGCCATCACATTCCTTAAGGCCCTTAAATCTCCAGGTCAGTTAGAAAAAAACATCCCTAAAATGACCCCTTTTTGGAAAGTAGGTAGTAAGAGGTCATGCTATGTGTTTTTTTAAGTTCTAATTTTTTTTGCCACAATTTTTGGATTTTGTTTCATAAAGTTTTAATTTTAACAGAAGTTATTTCTAACACATAGTATGGGCATATTTATAATTACACCCCAAAATACATTCTACTTCTCCTACTACTAAGTATGGAGAAACCACAAATGTGTTGGTTTTTTTTTGCAGCCTAGCCATATTGAGGGGCCCAAATTCCAAGCAGCAAATTCAGGGTTTCAATGGGCATAAATATGCATCTGATTTCATGACTATGCATTACATTTTTAGAAACCCTGAAGTGTCAGGATAGTAGATAGTAGTTTGGAAGTTGGAAAATGAAAACTTTTTTTACAGAAAGTTATCATTTTGTTAAGTTATTTTTACACACAGCTGGGTAAACTTAGGATTATACCCTGGAACACATTCCATTACTCAATTTTTTCCGGCTAGATGCATAGAGGAGCCGAAATCCAAAAAAGCACGATCAAGCTTTAACGGGGCAAAACTTGTTTCCTGGATGCCTATCGCATGTGATTAGGACAGTGGTACAGAATTTCACATGTTGTGGTACTGATGGTGGTCAGGTTACTGTCTCTGGCTGATGACTAGATCACTGGTTCTAGCTGCCACTGGTACCAGATTTCACTGCCACTAGTGCTGGCAGTGATCTGGACGCTGATTCTTGCTTACACTGGTACTATATTTCATTGGTATTAGATTTCACTGGTATTGGTGCTGGTGGCAATCAGGACACTAGTTCTGGCTGACTCTAGTACTGTTTGGCAATTTATATGCAAAAGGTGGATTGCAAGCAGTTAAGTATATTGTTGATGTGGTAGAGTGGAGAGATTCTCCCATTATGTACACACCTTCTGATTTCCAAACACATGTGCACTTGTGCACCCCCTGGGACATGCAATACACCTCTCTCCTCTCTCATGAATGCTGTGTCCGCAGGATTGCGGTTGCCAGTACCTGGTCACTTTGATTGGCTGGGGGATCACACCATTACATGTCAGCAGAGCTAGTATTAATGAAGTCCATTCCTAACAGCCGTGTTTCCATTAGTGAACTGTAATTAGCCCACAGCTATCACATGCTAAATGGGCCAATCACAGCACCCTGTACCATGTGATAACAGTGGGTCAATCACAAATCATAATAGTAAAATCACTGCTTTTATTAATGTAACCCATTCATGACAGTTCAAAACATTGCTGTTACTGTGAACTTCAGCAATCAAAGTGTAAAAAAAAAAAATCCTGATCACCCCACCTGACACTGAACTACTCTGATGATAGGCAGTCAGTACATCAGGATTGTTCAATGTTCAAATATGCATATATATATATATATATATATATATATATATATATAGGCCTTGAAATTTCCACTCGCCTGCTCGCCAATGGCGAGTGGAAATTATGGTGGGGGCGAGTGTGTCCCCAGGGCCGTCTTGCTGAGCAGGCTCCGAGCTCAGGCCAGATCTGTCATTGGCACTGGGAGCCGTCAGACTGCTCAGTAGCTGAGCGCAGTGCAAGCAAAGCAAGGAGTGTGTGCTGTGCTCTCTGCCTCCCCCTAGAGTGCAGTACCCGGATCTGTGAGTGAACAATGAAGTACTGCAACTTTTTATAGGGCTGTGTGTGTGTGTTTGTGTGTGTGTGTTTGTGTGTGTCACATTATCCTCTATGTCAGCCAGTGGTGGCTTCAGGAGAGAGGAGAGAGCACTTAACAGTGTGTGCGTGTGTGTGTGTGTGTGTGTGTACATGTGTGTCTGTGTATGCATGTACATGTGTCTGTGTGTATGTACATGTGTGTATCTGTACATGTGTCTGCGTGTATGTACATGTATGTGTACATGTGTCTGTGTGTGTGTGTGCATGTACATGTGTGTGTGTGTTTGTGTGTATGTATGTACATCTGTCTGTGTGTACATGTGTCTGTGTATGTATGTACATGTGTCTGTGTATGTATGTACATGTATCTGTGTGTATGCGTGTCTGTATATGCCTGTGTGTGTATACATGTGTCTGTATGTGTGTGTGTGTGTGTACATGTGTCTCTGTGCGTGTGTGTACATGTTTCTGTGTGTGTATGTACATGTCTGTGTGTGTGAGTACAGGTGTCTCTGTTTGTGTGTGTTTGTTGGTGGCGAGTAACTCTTAAGGCCTGGCTAGTAGCTCAGGACTTGAAATTTTAAGCCCTACATATATAGATATATAGATATATATATATATATATATATATATATATACACACAATAGTTAGTAGACACTATACATTTTCACACAAACCAATAAATATACACTTAATAAATTGTTTTAACCCGAACACATGTAGATGTAGCAGAATACATTTTGGCATACATTTATGAAGACATTTTATTTTATTTTTTTTTATTGGATTTTTTTCAAAATGTTCCGTCTTTTTTTGTTTATATAATAAAACAATAAATATCCCATTGGTGATCAAATATCAATATCAAGTAAAGCTCTATTTGTGTGAAAGAATTATATAAATGTAATTTGAGTACAGTGTTGCATGACCGTGCAATTGCCAGTTAATGTAAGGCAACCTTCCAGGGCTTAAGTGGTTAAACCATACTGAAGTGAGTCCAGTACAGGGCTCTGTTTTACAGAGAATAGCAAAAAATATTTGCCATAAAGGTCCACCACCATCAAAGGTGACAAACATTTCCATACCTGCTGCCTATTAATAATGTTGTCTGTGGAAGAAAGATCATAGTGAAAGCATTACGTTTCATTCAACCCTCAAACACCCCACACAGAAAAAACAAATCAGAAAACTTTTTTTTTTTTGGATAGAATAGGGAAGGTTTCTTATCGGTTTTTCTGGTGATTATGGCAAGTTGTGGCCATGCTGACAAGGATTTTATTCTTTACATAATCTATTTAAAACTAAATAAAAAGGCTTAGCTATAGTTACATTTTACCACTGCTTGAAGACCACTACTGAGCAGATAGATCAGAAGTTTTGATGGCTCAACAAAAATGGATTATGGGTGAATTTGAAAATTATTTATTGACTGTATGCATTTTGTACAGAGGGATCATGCCAAGGACGATGCCATGAGGGTTTTATTAGAGGACAGACATGTGATTGTGATCCGAGCTGTGTAGGCTATGGAAAATGCTGCCCAGACTATGAAGAACATTGTGCGAGTAAGTAATTCATGCTACCTTTTTGTTTATAATGGTAGAAAATATTTGTGTACACCTTTCAGAAATGAAATGGCATAAAAATACATTATAGCCAATATTTCAAAACTGGATTATATTGTATGGGAATTTAACGTCAAAGGTCAGCATTTGATATTGAGTAAGTTCACCACAGAGGCATGAACAACAGGGCACATTTCTCACAAAATGCTAAATTTAGGGCTTTCCTATAGAGAAAATCTTGCCATGTTCATCTACCAAATAGAATTTCAGTCTGGAAACACAAGAGACCACCAGGTATAGCAAGTTAAAAATGTATTCCAACAACTAAAACAAGTAGAAAGTTATGTATATAGAAAACTTCATCAGCCTCCAGGAGCAGATGTGCTGTCTAGTTAAAGGGCAGTTCACAGAAAGCCAGCATATGAGAAACAAGGGTAAACTGGAGCAAGCATCTTGGAATGGTCTTCAGCTGAGCACAGCATGTGGGAATGGATGAACAAAACAAGTAGTCTCCTATGACAAATATATGAGCCCAGCCTTGAAGAAACCACCATTAACATATTTTGAGGCTCTGCCTCTTCCTAAGACTTTCAGCGGTTGCTCTAGACAGAACCTTTCTTCCTGTTCCCAGTCACAGTCAACCTTACCAGTCCATCCCTCCTGACTATATCTACATAGCAGTTGTCAGACTGTGTGACTAGCTGTTAACTGCTAAGTTTCTCCATTAACACTCACCACACTGCTGTCACTGCTGGACACAGGGATAGTTTGCAGTACATAAATCCCTCATAACTGATGATCTAACTTGTCAGTCCATGATTATGAAGATGTCATGTTAAAGTGGAGTTCCAGCTGTTTTTGTGTTTACTAAAAGTCATCAGCTACAACAACTGTAGCTGCTGACTTTTAATAAACACACACTCACCTGTCCCGGGTCCAGCGATGTACTCACCCGTGCTGTCCCTTCTCTCCTTCTGTCCTCCACGGCACCGGGATCTCTACTGTGGGCACCAGGCTATGACAGCTTGTGGCTTCACAGCCTTGTGCCCACTGCACATGCATGAGTTGCACCGCACCTCCTGATTGGTCCGTCAGTTTCCTGGGACCAGTGAAAGTTCTCAGGAGAGCAAGGAAGGGGCTGCTCTTCCAGGCCACTTCGCTGCAGCAAACTGAGCCAGAATTGGGAGTTGGTACCTGTCAAAAGGTGCCAAAAGGTGCCAAATATGGCAGTGGAGGGGGGGAGGAGGCAAATAAGCGGAGCTTCCACTTTTGAGTGGAACTCCGCTTTAGTATATAAGTAAAGCCTATCCAACATTGGTCTGTTTTTTAAACAGTGGAAATGTAGTTTTTTATATGCAGCGCTAACCACAAAGAAGCCACTTGGTAATTTGGGTTCTCTCTTCTGTACCTCAACTCCAAGAACACCCTCAGTCCCTCTGACACACCTGGTTGAATGAAAGTTACTGCAAGCACTTATAAGAACACGAGTACAGATACTTTTAACTCAGCTGTGAATTAGCACTAGGAAATAGCCACAAGACCGTTTAGTGGGAAATGAACTCAATGTATTGGTAATGGATAAAATAAATGGTAGTTTCAGCATAAATGAGCACACAGAAGGTATGCACAAGCACAGTCGGCTAGACAGTATAATTACTATGTCAATGTAACTTAGAATAGAGTTCTGTACCACTAGAATGGAATTAACTGATGAATCAGCAAAGTAAGCAATGAACAGTGCATATAAGCATTAACTGCAATGTGAATAATAATGCTATAACTAGTCTAGAGTGAATTCTAGGAGAATGGCTATCATGTGGTGCAATATCCCCTGAGAGATCCCTCTTAGCATAACCAATAGGTGAACGTCTGTGTGGAGCAGGAGAAACACACACACACACACACAGCAAAGCTGCTCCAGGTGAGTAGTGTAGTATGGATCATTCACTGCCCATTAGAGTAAAGGTGCACGCACAGCTCGTCTGTGAAACTGCAAGGTAAAGAAAATCCAGAATCTGCTGCACTCTTCAATCTCTACTCATTATAGGTAACATCCATATCATATTCATAACCATGTCAGGGACAGATTATGAATTAACAATAGTTTTTAGCGTGAAACGCATTAACCTTTTTCTCCCTGACACTGTCTGTGATATGGATTTTTACCTATAACGAATAAAGATTGAAGAGTGCAGCGGATCTCGGATTTTCTTTATCTTGCTGTCTCTGTGTAGCAGCTATAAAGGTACAGTCTTTATTCCTAACTCTTCAGCCAGCTAGCGTTGGGCCCAGTTGTACTGTTGGTGCACATGAGAAGTCCCAGTCAAGCCTGCAGGCAGCAATAAGGCTACTAGATGAGTGTATGGTCAATTCCTAAATCATTCAGTCTCTCCAGCAGTTGATAGTAAATCCCCACAGCAACACTTCACAAGTTCCAGCAATATTATAGCTCACCACCTGATCACACACAGAATTAGTCCACACTCTGCACCCAGGTGACTCTGAATGTCAACACATCTGAAGTCAGCACTCCTGCTCAGCTTGCCATTATGCAGCAGTAGTGGTCTCCTCTACAGCCTGAGAAAATGCAGCTCTTTCTCCTCATCCTGACAATCTCCCTCTGGGAAATGCAGTTCAAAAGCTCTTGAGAACAGTAGGCTCTCTCTTCCGGATTACAGTTCCCACAGTGCAGTGCTACGTCATTCTGATATAGCTGCCAACCAGTTCAGCATGGCAGGGCAGCAGCTACAGAGAGCAGCTGCATCCAGTGTTTCTCTCACTTTCCATTCTTAACCAAACACCTTGCTACACATAATTTATTGTAAAATATATGATAATTTCAAAATTTTGTCATTTGCAATAAAATTCACTTTTAATACTAGCTTAGGTCTTTGTTATGGTAATTGTTTAAAAATGATTGTCTTGTGACATTCACTTCAGGAAATTTTATTCCTGCAAAACTGAATAATAATACCTTAGTAACAGTTAATGTTTTCTACCTAAGAGCCAACTCAGAGGCAGCCAGCCCCTCCTCCATCACCACGGCTTCCAGATCCTGATTCAAGAGATGATTCTCCAAAACCCAGCAGGAAACCAGAGGAAAGAGTACCAGAACCTGCACCAGAAGGTAGAGGAAATAATTTTATAAACTACATTCTTTTAAAAAATAATATATTGGGTAGAACATTCACTGAAGATAATTAATTCAGGTTTTCCAACGGTTATAAACCATTTTGAAATTAGCACATCCTACTGGCTAGTCTTCATTGTGTTGTACATGGTTAGAAAATTCAATTTGACCCCTTTCAGACCTATGCTTTGCAGTAGCACACAGTGATAAGCCTGTTTTATTGACCAGTCCTTCAATGTGCGCTAAGGCATTGCGGTTTGTTCGGCGCATTGTGGTGCCAATGTGCTATTCATTCAGAATGGCACCTCAATGCATAACTATAATAGCATACAATGCACTCAGACTATGCTGTCAATGTCCTTGAACTCTGCTGCCAATGTACTGTGCTGTAATGCATTAGGTAAAAATGTAATATTCATTTTTTTGTGTGCTAAAGTGGGAGTAAAGTCTGAAATAAAACCTTTCCCCTGGAAGTTAAGGACATAATGTGCTAGTATGCATCTCATATCACATTATGAAATACCTACCTTAAAACAAAGCCCTCCAGTGGCACACTGTCACTGTTGATAAGACTTCCATCTTCATCTGGTCTTCCATCTGATTTTGGGGATCTGGCTGTTTGAATGGCCAAGCTGTGATAACAACAATCTCATGCATGCGCACGTCAGCCACGACTGCAGCACTGAGCGTACTCAGTGTGCTGTCCCTTCAGAGAACAGTGCGCATGCACAGGTGATGTCACTGGCTGAAGAAATAGTGAATATCTCCTAAACGGTGCATGTTTAGGAGATATTCCTAATATGTGTGGTAGGTGATATGTGTATGTGTATACAAAATGCAA